GCCGCGCTCTGTTACCCCAGAAATTTTAAAAGCAACACATTCAGTCAGTTTAAGCTGCAGATCTAAACCAAGACTAATCTCATGTAGTGCAATGTGGGTATTTGGAATTTTTTGAACTTTCTAAAAGATGTGTGCAGTTGTCGCAATTAATTCATAAAAGTGAATTTGCACACACACACACACACACACGAAATACTGGATCTCTCCTGGTTCCTTAGTCAACTGCAAAAAGTGATGGAAAAATACTAGATTTGCCAATGGGACAAGCAAAATTATCTTGAAGCAAAATTACGGCTTTCCCATTGCCCAAAAATACAGTCAAAATGTACTCAAATTAGAAAACATTTTGCCAAATTTTTCATTTCATTTCATCACTTTTTGCAGCGCAGCATTGATATTTGTGAACTAGATTGGCTTCATACTGTATCCAACAGTACCTTTTTGCCCCATGTTGCGCAAATGACTAATTGTAATGGTATTAGTGCTGATGGTGCTCTTTATTGAACACCATTTCCCAGAGTCCCCAGCCTCATTTCCTCTTATTAGACACAGCCTGGAAACGCATCGACTCCACCTGGTGCTCCAGTAGCTCCCGGGCCTCCAGGTACAAGTTTATTCCGTGGTGATAAAGTGGACAGCACAGACTCCGAGGGGAGGGGAGGGATGAACCATATTTTGTCCAAAGATAGATTACAATGACAGTTATTGTAATACTAAATACAATACTAATAGTAAAAGTAAGTAAGTAAGCTTTAATTATATAGCACATTTTAGATCACACACTGAGGTCACACAAAGCGCTTTATTGAACACAGAGAGATAATAATGCATACGGAAAATTATCGATTGAAATCATTGGCCTCTCTCACCTGCTCTTAATGCCTTTTTTATAATAACAAGGATCAGATTTAGATTTGCCTATTTAATAATATGACATTGTGTTGATGTTCACAGTCTCGGGCATTTTCATAATTTTTGCCAGAATTTAGACTTGTTTCTGTTCTGAAAATGAAATCTTTCTTTGAACCTGGAGAAAAAAGTGTTTTGGTGTTATTATGATGATTAGCAGAAACAACAAGGTGCGAGTGGGATTTATCCATCCTTCATGAGAGGTTGAATTCAACTCAGAAATTCTTTGATAAGTTGTTGTTGAAAGGCTTTTGATATTTAATGAAACATGTGACATTTATGGGAGTAATCATACTTTCTATTCATGCTTGATATTTGCATGTTGTTGTGGATCGCATAAGTCCAGCTTTTTCACCCTGAGATCTCATTTATGGCTTACTTCGTGGATTTCTCCCTCCGTCTCCACCCACTGCTCTGTGCAAAGAGTATATGCCATCTCGTAAACTCGTAAGTTCTGACTTCCTACTTGGAAAAATGGGAATGAACACTGCTCATGTCGGAAATTCAACTTGTAAACTTGGGGGAAACTTGGGTTGAACAACGGGATGGGTCAATGGTCCCAGAGTTACCAAGCTTGCGTCACTGAAAGAAAAGAGACAAACTGAGAGGGGATATGTTTTATATCACGCTGTCTCATTCTGCTCTCTGATTGGATAATCTGCTTGAATACCGTACATCATGGTCATCGTATTTTCCTTTAAGAGTTATTGAACTTTAAATGGCGTCCTATTATCTATTGACACATGTAAAAGATGTAGATTTAAATGAAAAAGTTTCATAATGTAGGGTTAACGTAAGTATGATTGAAATTAACTGTAGGACTCTTCACTCCACAGTAATTATAATTAAAACAATCAAATCAGTGTCAAACATAAGTGTCGCTGGTGAATGATGGTTAATGAGTTTCAATTATAATCAAGACAAATGTATAATTGACGTCTATGTAAGCTCTTTACCATTGATCAAGTGATTTTACATTTGTAAAATTGCAACAAAAAAACCTGTCAGATTTCCTTTTTTTTCAAAAGGGGTAGGAAACAGTCTTTTTCATTTTTTTTTTCTTTTTATTGAATTGTACTATGAAAATTAGAAAACAATACTACAAAACTATAACTGTGTAACTATTTTATAATCTGTAATGTTGTGTGTCTCTTGTCCAGGACTCCCTTGAAAAAGAGGTTCTTAATCTCAATGGGACTTCCCTGGTTAAATAAAGGTTACATAAAGAGTATAAAACATTTGAGAAAGAGCCAGGGATCTGTAATAATATCTGGATAGGGTATTACTAGCTTACAGCTGCCCCATCAATGGGCACAGGGGCACCTGCAGTACTGCAGACTAAATTAAGTGGGCTACCCAGAAAGCTCAATGTAAACTTAAGGTGCTTTCACACCGCCGATGTTGGAACGTTGACGCCTCGCACACCAGACGCACATTCTCTAATTTTCAGACGCAGGGGTCTTTAGACCAGAAGTCCTGGGCTGCGGAGGCGCCCGCCATAATCGGCGGAAGTAGCGGGCGGACTTTGATGCTAGCGGAGTTAAGCTAGCGGCTTCTTGTGTAAAGTTCTTCTCCAAGAATGCAGGAAACGTTCAGCAATTTATATCTCCTGCGTGCGCCAATTTTCCGCTCCTGCGCCTCTGTCGTGCCTTTGCAGCGCAGTCTGTGCATCTCTACCGCACAGTCCGTGCGTGCATCCCGAGACGCACATGCAGTTCCACGCTCAAACACACGTCACCATTGACTTTGCATTGAAAGTCAACGCAACGCATAATCTGGTGTGAAAGCAACAGAAAACAGCAGCCGCTGATTGGTCAGAGCGCGACCGAGCCCCTCTGTACACGTGCATGAGAGCCACACACTCATATTTAGTGCAACGCATCATGGAAGCTCGTGCACTGCGCAGAACATAGGGAGGAGCAGATGATGCCCAAATATGGGCGAGTTCGATCACCGTGTAGGGTGAGCACAATGGGTTTGAATACGGCACCATCTTGGATTGCTGGGGCTTGGAAACAGCCCTAGTCAGAGAAGATGCCCTAAGCTTCAACCATGATGCTTTTCCTAAACGTACTTTTTCAGGGCGCCTCTAGTGGTACAAAAGGGTATCGCGTGCATACTAATTATTTGACTGAATGGGTCTGGGATGCAGTCTTTTGGACAAACACATACAAAACCAGAGGCTTTTGACACTTCTCTTGGTGTGACTTTTGGGCCCATAACGTTGATAATAGCCCCTCGTTCGGCTGGGCCAGCTCTGCGGTTTCTGCCCATCAGCATCAGTCTGTTCTGTGGAGTGTGACTCAAGGGTCCCTGTTGACAGCAGACAGAGTAGTAAACTCAGGGGAGAAGTTTTAGATCGATGACAACATAAAAGCGGCTTGACTTGGCCATCACTTATTGTGGGTTATTTATCTGACAGCTCACTCTTTTCCGCTGACTCTGTTTAGTCTTCCTATAGCATCAAAACACATCAACAAGTTTCAGACTGCATGGCAAATGTCTCTTTTATAGTATGCTTGTTGTTTTGTTGCATTATTCATTTGGGTTAGATATGTGGGTATAGGATAATTGAATACCGTGCTCCATCACTGCTTGTTACTGTACATGAAAACATAACAGCATCAATAAATCTGTTTAATCTGCTTAATTAAGGATGATTTAGTACCTAATTTGCTCTTGTTTACAGTATTCTCTCATTATAACACGGTTTACCTTGCCTCACTGTTTTGTGGGCAGTTGTGCGTGCCTTTTTTACAGCGTGCTTCCCATATGCCGTGTCCTGTATAGAAAATAGACTGTATTTAACTTTATTTTTTTATTCGAAATAAAGACAACAACACCACTACATTTGAGAAACAGGCTGCGTCAGAGAAGATGAACTATGTCTCAACCATGATGCTTGTTCTACTTGTGCTTTTGTGCAGCGCCTCTAGTGGTGCAAAAGGATATCACATGAATACATATTTTAAGACTGAATGGGTCTGGGTGCAGTCTTTTGTACAAACACATACAAAACCAGAGAGGTGCTTTTGACGCTGGTTGTTACATGAAAACATCCACATAACATAACAGCATCAATAAATCTGTTTTCTCTTGTTTACAGCGTTCTCTCGTTATAACATGGTTTACCTTGCCAAGCTGTTTTGTTGGTAGTTGTGCATGTTTTTTTTACAGCGTGCTTCTCATATATGCCGCGTGCATACTCCAACAAAATCATAAAAATTGTATATATCTGCTACTACAACATGACAGGGACCTTTATTCAAAGTCAGAAGAAAACGTATGTGGCTAATTTGCATCCATTGTCCCACATTCGCACTCACAAACACACATTCATTCATTCCCCCTGAACTATTGCACATATTTTTGGTGGTAGGGGAAACCGTATAGTACCCAGAGGAAATCTATGCAGACACGGGGAGAACATTCAAACTCCACTCAGTAAGACCCTGTTCCGACTGGGATTCGAACCCAGAACTTTCTTGCTGAGAGGCGAGAGTGCTAGCCACTGTGTCGCATTGTCTTCTGCAGCTACATTTTATAGTGTATGCACAACTTTTGACAGCTGCAGCAGCGCTCAGACCTACAACTGACTGACCTACAGGTTCGATGTCCGCGATCGCACTTCAACAGTCGTGAGTTCAAGTGGTTAGAAAAATGTATCAAGTGTGTGGGGAGGAGTTTTTCAGCCTTAAAACATATTTTGCTTATTGCGGGTTATTTTGAGAACGTTACCCTTATGATAAACAACGGACCACATCGCATTTTTGTCTTTTGAGCCACAAACAAAAGAATGTGTCAGACCCTCCACCTAAAATTTCAATTGTGTAGTTTAGTGTATGTTATCCATTTCTCATTGAGCCTGCAAATGATGACTGTCTCCTGTTCCACTCTAATAACTCAGATATGGTCCAAGCCTTTTCAGAATGGGCTGGGCTCAGAACTCAGCCCTTGAATGGGAGAACTCATCTGTTTGTCAGCTTTACTTCTTTCTATATCATTGTTGTTTTTTTTTCCTTAAGTCGACTATTTACTGACAAAGTGCTTCTTATAACGTTCTTGTCTGTTCTTTGTGTTTGTGTGCGCAGGGAGATGAGGTCCTGACGGTCATCAAAACTAAAGCCCAGTGGCCGGCCTGGCAGCCCCTGAACCTGTGAGTGCCAGTCACTTTAATGCTAAAAGGTTACATTTAAACTGTGCTTTGCTGCCTCTCAAGTGCTTTTCTCTTTAAGGACCCTTTCACACACACTCATGCTTTAGTGTACACAGACATGAGGTGGCTTAAGTGTCTTGCCCGAGCACCTGCGGGTCAGGAGATCTGACCACTCATTTCATGTGTGTGTCTGGTTTTATCAACACTTATGGACATTGGTCATCTGCCCCTTATGGGCCAATAGCAATTTGTTTTCTGGTTAATTTCTTGTGTTCAGGTGGACACCTTCTTGTGTTCAGGTGGACACCTGAACACAAGAAATTAACCAGTAGCAGCAGAAACACATGCATCCAAACAAACACAACTAAAAAATAGATCATTCTAAAAGTAGCTTAACATAGTAGTAGTAATAGAATGTTGTGATTTTGCTGTACAAGAATATATTTAATTGAATTCAGACCTCACAGCAAGAAGGTAGTGGGTTCCAATCCTGCAGGTACTGGCCCGAACCTTTCTGTGTTGTGTTTCTCCCTGTATCTCAAACTAAGATCCTCCAGTGAAAGGCGTGACCCTGCTTCAACAAGCCTCAACATCTGGAGACGGGTCCCCAGGCGCTGCGCTGAAGTGACCACTGTTTTGTCCCAGAGGGACTGAAGGATGGGTCAGGGACAAAGTGTCCCTGAACCATATGGCTCAATCGTAATATAAGTACTGGTAGAGTCGAAACCAGTGGTTCACAAACTGGGGTCCAACCCCTGCGGGTCTCTAGAACATGTGCAACATGGTTTTGACTTCCAATTCTTCACTTCAAACATTTTAAACTACTGCACTACGTTATATGTATTCTTGAAATGTAACAGTTTGTATTAAAGCTGGAGTACATGTTTACTTCAGATCACAACTTGCTGTCATTTTCATTTTACATGCTGACTTTTTAGTGGTTTCAAAGTTTACAGCTATTGCTATAGATACACAGAATTAGTTGAACAAATAGTCCTGTCACCCGGTTAGGAAAAAGATCAAAGAAATGAAATGTTACTTTTAATAACGCATGTTTTTTATTCTTTAAAGAAATTAACAAAGAACAGTATACAATAAAAATATATCTAATTCTAATTTATGTATTTTACACTTCATCCTTGTGCAAATTAAAGTGAAACTATTTGAATGCCAAAATATGTCATTATAAAAGTTCCTTCAATTTGTGGTCTTTCTTGTTCTTTGATGATATTATTAAATTCATAATCCTTTTACCATTAGGTTTAATTCTCACAAATCAAATTTAATGGCAAAAGGAAAAACAATAGGCCGAGGTTGTTATGACTTTTAAAGAATGATTACTCTTTAAAGTTGATCTTAAAATGACTTCAACACCAAATAAAAGTCATTATTTTTCATGAAGCAACTAATGAGAACAGTAAATGTCACACATCCCGTTTCATCTCTTAGTATTTGCAAAAAGTGTATTCCCTGTTTTAGATAGACATGTTTTAACTGTATTATTAAGCAACTTTACTAAATGTTGTGTCCATGCCCGCCCTAACTTGGAAATTAACCTTAAAGTAAAGTATTAATCAAAAAAAGCTGTTTACATCATTGTCAATCTTAACCTTTTTCTATCCGTACTAAAATTTTACACAGGGCACACGGTGGAGAATCAAAACCTATGGAACCACCAAAAAGAGTGGCTCAAAACACGATATGAAAACACATATTGTATACTTTTATATAATCGTCCCATCAAAAGTGGTTAGAAAGCACAGTGTGGGACTTTTCAGGAAAAGTTTAGGGTTGTTGGGATATTTTTTTCTGCATCTTTTGTCATTCTCCTCATCCCACAGTGGGGGAAAAAAATCACAAAGAACAGAACAGTGAAGTATTTACGTATAGCACAACTCTGTACTTGTAAATTAATATAACATCTTTATCTTTAGCTTAATTTAAAAGCAGTATAAAAAGTGCAAAGAAATAAGCACGAACATATGTACACTTCCTTTGTATGAATCTGTCTGCTCGAGAAAGTAGCTCCAGTGACAGACTTATTTATCCTCGCTGTGTGAAGGAGAGGTTCCGCAGGTCTTTCCTTCCTGCTGCTGTCAGACTGTACAATGAGAACTGCTGAGCCTGAACACGTCATTTATCTGTAAATGGTCATTACTTTAATCATGTGCAATACTGCAATTTCAGAATGTCCTCTGAATGTCACTTTATCTACATATCCTGCCCTTTATGTATATAACTTATACAACTCTATATATACAGATAGTTATATAGAAAGAGTGATATTGAAGCATTTACAGCTAGCTAAGAAATATACTGTAGAAGCTGCTTATATTGTATATTTTGTGTGCTCCCTGTGTGCTCTTACGAATAAAGGATCTCTTATCTTATCCAAGTAATCTTTATTTATACAGCAAGTACAGTAAGTCAGTGACGTGATTTTTGTTGCATGAATGAGGCCGCCATCTTGACTTATCGTCTCCCGTCCTCAGGAGAGCGGCTCCGTCTGCAGAGTTCTCGGTGGACCGGACTCGCCACCTCATGTCCTTCCTGACCATGCTGGGGCCGAGTCCGGACTGGAACGTGGGCCTGTCCGGAGAAGACCTGTGCACCAAGGACTGTGGCTGGGTCCAGCGGCTGGTGACGGACCTCATCCCGTGGGACGCAGGCACCGACGGAGGCATCACATATGAGGTTCAAAACAAAAAACAACACATTAGGTTCCTCTGGTCTAGCTTTGGGTCTGTAGTTTTGATAAATCTCAAAATTGTATTTGTGTGTTTTTAATCATCCTATATTTAGAGTTATGCTCATTTTAATTCATTTTGTACATGACGAGTTACAAAAATTAACCAAAACAAGATCCTCAAAGGCAAACCAGTTTTATCTCTCAGTAAAAATCTATAAATGACTTACTAACTTTTTTGACAGTTGTATTAAAAGTAAGTAAAAACTAAACATTTTTGGGGCACTTTCTCAGAATTCCATTGGTTTGAATGAGAGCAGTCAAATCGATGGCTCTGACAGTAGTAGTAGTTGTAATAGTAGTTTCATAATACTTTAATATTTTGATTGCTTTCTCAATAAAAATGTATAACAGCCAAATTGAAAGTCCCATGTATCTACCTACAGTATGTATGATATCATGTCATAATGCAGTCTCTGAAAGATTCTCAGTCCTAAAGATTAAATGGAGTAAATGGATTAAAGTAAGTGAGGATTGAAGCGTTTGCCGTGGCTCCGGAGAGTCCAGCTTTGCTTTGATAAAACAGTAATGGCTGCCACCTGCAGGTAGACACCATCATCTCTTTGTTTCAAACTGCTTTCTAGTTTCACTTTTCTACATTCTTTTGAAGCGCTCTTGTGTGTTGTGTTGTCCTGTCTCGTCCCGCTGAAACTACGATAAGACTAAACCTTAAATGAACACGCATCTATCTACAAAGGGTGACACAGGTGCTGTTCTCTCTCTGCTTTGTTCTCACTTCCCTTTGTCTTGTCCACTGTGAATATTCACCATCAGAAAGCCAAAACTACAAAGCAAACCTTTACTCAGAACAAAGAGAATCATTTATGTTGGTCATAATACAACTTCCTGTCAAAGGATACATATGCACAAACAATGATATATATCTGATTGTGAAAACATCAAAAGAAGTTTAAAATGTAACAACAAAACTTATAAATTATGCATCACAAATTCCGCCTGCTTGTTATTAAACAGCAGACCGAGCTTCTGTGGTATGTGTTTCTTTGTATACAGTCGGACTGGCTTCAGTTTAAAATAAATAAATAAATCTCAAAGCTAATGAATTGTCATATACCCATTCGTTACCGCTTTTATATCACCATTGTTAGCAAACCCCTATATCAGACTGCTAGCTCTGCTAGAGCTGCGCAGTACATCATCACAGTATGGCATTTCTACATGAGGAAAAGTGCTTAACTAAACAAGGCGTTTTTTGAGGTTCTTTTAAAAGACAAGTTGAAGGTAATACATCTAACTTGTCTTTCCAACAAACCACAAAAAGCATTTTAACTCAAGACAAAATTTACCTTACTGAATCATTAAAAATAAGTCATTGAAATGATAAATGAGCACAGTACATTAAAACATATGTATTCCTTGTTTTTAACCTGGAACATTGTCAAAGATTGTGAAATTTAAAGTTGGAGTACCTGACTTTGAAACCCCCAAATAATAACTATGTAATAAAATCAATGTAACTAGTAACTCCTAAAAGTGTCTGTTTTCACATGCATGTATTTTTAGCCTCCCGTCACGCCTTGCATCCAGTTTGTTCAGTGAAAAAGAGACTCCCAGCCCTCAGCTCAGCCAATCAGCTCACAGTATTTAGAATAACGCATGTATTTTCTGATAAGCAAAAGACAGCATATAGTGGTCTGTTTTGTTGAACGAATGAAGCAAAAAAAAAAGCATAGCCGTTCAAACTATTTAGAAGAAAACCAGAAAGGGTACATTTAGGTTTGTGGAGCAAATTGGAATAGCATGGTTGGTCACATACATTTTGCAGATAACATTTCATTTCTATATTTGCTGCAATATTCTTCCCTCTCTAATATTTCCCATGGTGTAGCTGTGTCTTTCCCTGCTGTTAGTGAGCCTGAGCCCAGTGCTCTCACGTGGGTTTAAAACAGTGTCTCAGATGTGCTCCTCCAGGACTCCACCATCGCAGCACACAGTGAATAATTGGCTCAATGATAGCATGAGAAGAATACATACCGGGGAGGAGGGAATACGTCCCCTTGAAATCCTGATGTGATTATTGCCACACTAATATACATATTCATGACACTGCAGACCGGGCCAAAGACCTGAGGGAGGTTTGTCATCAGTCCAACTAAAATATTCACTTTTATCGCACATTACACATTCATATTTTGCAGTTCATACGATTACGAAAACACAATTGTAGCACTAATAATACTGTATTCTCAAATATAATGATTTCTGTTTACTATCAGGCAACATTCACCATGAGTTTCTTGTATAGTGGCTCTATACGTACATGTATTAAACACTGCTCCTAACCTGGGCTCATTATTAAAGGGGATGTATTGTCAATTGAAAGGTTTTTTTTTTTTTTAGAAGAATGTTTATTTGGGGGTACTGATATGTATGGTAAGTATTTTTCAACAATATTTTAGATCATCTTTCCCCCTGGCATAACTGCAACTAGTAAGATTTGAGTAGAATAGTTAACAGATAATGAGATAACGGATTTGAATTAATTTTGGCCAATCAGAAAACTGCGTGGTGATGATTGTCGCTCTCACTTTAAGAGTAAATTAAAGGGTTTGAAGAAATACCCTACCTGAGTGAAGTTTGCATGTTCTCCCCATGTCTGTGTAGGTCTGCTCAGGCTGCTTTTGGTTTCCCCGACCTCTAAAAACATGTGCAATGGTTAAAATCCTCCAGCTCACTCATAAAGACTCACTTGTTTAGATTTCCCAAACCTTAAGATAAGCTAAAATAAGATAGACCTTATTGCTCTCACAATGAAGAAATTTAACACATTTGGCATAAAAAGAATCACTCAGATTGTGCAAAAAGGCGAGAAATGTACAGAGATTTATATTATGTGCAATTAAAATAAAAGTGACTATCAGCAGTGCAAGTTTACAGTCCTAGTGCTGAACATTAAAGTGACTTATTGTACAGTCTGACAGCGGTGGCGATGAAGGCGCACCTTTATCCCCTAGACAGTTCTGTTATCGCACCCATTGTCCTTTTGTGATTTGTGATCTGCGTTAAGTTCGATGGGTTGCAGTCCCGTATGAAACATGATAAAACAAAAGCATTGATAAAACATTTCTTCCTCCAGTCTCCAAACAAGCCAACGATTCCCCAGGAGAAGATCCGGCCCCTGACCAGCCTGGACCACCCTCAGAGCCCCTTTTACGACCCAGAGGGAGGGGCCATCAATCCAGTAGCCAAAGTAATTGTGGAGCGCATTGCAAGAAAGGTATATTAACACCTTGATTTCTTTTGTTGCTTAAGTTCAACTATTTCCAGCCAATCCATAGTACTTAAAATTCAGTCCACAGTTTACATGAAAGTTCTGTTTTTTTTTCTTTGTTTGTCATTGTTCAGGGGGAGCAGTGTAATGTGGTCCCAGACACGATTGACGATATTGTGGCTGATATCGGACAAGAGGAGAAAGGAGGAGGTAAGTCCAAAACCTTTATAATAATAATAATAATACATCCATCTCATAATGCGCATTTTTTGGACACATAAGCACATAAAAATAAACATTGAAGAACAAAATTAAGGAAAGGCGAGCTGAAATAGGTGGGTTTTGAGAAGTGATTTGAGTGTAAAGTTCTGTAGTGAATGGGGGCAGCTGCAGTGAAGGCCCGGTCCCCCAAGGTTTGATGTTTAGTTAGAGGGGAGTGAGGAGGTTGGAGTCTGTGGATCTGAGGCGGCGGGAGGGACAGTGAAAATGGAAGAGGTCAGTGGGGTAAGAAGGGGGCCAGGTTATGAAGGGACTTGTAGATGAGGAAGAGGACCTTGTATTGGATCCGGTATGAGACAAGGAGCCAGTGGAGTCGCTTGAGGACGGGGGTGATGTGGGTGAGCAGCAGTGTGGCAGAGTTCTGGATGTATTGTCGTTTTTGGAGATGTGTGGAAGGGAGACCGTAGAGGAGACTGTAATAAGAAATGATTGTGTATTTAATTGACTTTATGCATTTTGATCTGTGTTTTTAAATGGCTCTTTTAAAGCACTTTGAATTGCCTTATACACAAATTGTGCTATACAAATACATTATTGAGTCTGGAGGTGATGCAGCAGTATTTCAGCAGTGTATTGTGAGAGGGAGGCGAGGAGTCGGGCGATTTTGCGGAGGTTGAGAAGGATATTTTGGAGATGAGGTTGATGTGGAGTCCATGATGGTTTCTGTTCGAGCCCATGGGTCTCACACGGTGTCTCCTGATTGCTTTTACATAAGGGTCAGCTCAGCACACGGGAGTCGTTGCCTTGGTCCGTTTGAGGAAGAGCTCGCGTCTGTCCGTGAGTTCACAGCAGGGGTCTGGAGCATTCATGGCGGGCTCATTATAGACTGAATATTGGCTGGGTACATGGCAAACGGACGGACGAGCAAACACACTCCCTTGCCGTAACATACGAGAGCTACAAGGACCTCACATTACATCACTGATCACATAAATCAGCAAGTCAAGAGAAAGCTCTCAACAATGTATGCAAATGCAATTTAAATGTGAAAATGCCATAGCTGTTTAAATCATTATGTATCATTAGGTTGTACCCTCACATTATCATTACGTGGAGTGAGCGTTGTAAATGGAAATACACCCATTTATTGACTACACTGGATAAATGTTCCCCATCTCTGTATTCCATACCGTGTCTCAGGAAATAAGAACACAGTAATATGTCGACAAAAGACCTAAGCTGTGGTCAACATCGGTGTCTGACGGATTTCCTCAAGGTACTGGATGAGAAATGGGCAATAATAAAGCAAGTAGCAACCCATCCATCCATCCATCGATCCATTTGCTTCAGCTTTTTTTCTGAGACATGTCATGAAATTGACCTCTTGCAGTTTATCTCGAGGAATCCTTGTGCGTTCATTGTTGAGTTGAGTGGGAATTTATTTTAAGTTCAATGGACATCAAAATGTCACTACATATAATTTTCTAGCAAATCATTCATTTACAATTACAGTATTTAATACAATATTGGACATTATTCAGACTTGAAAAGGAGTGAGAGGAAGAAAACAATGTATAAATTCCTACCCATTGTCCTTGCTGTTTGTCCTGGGTTTTTCCGTGGCCATAATCCCAGTGGGACATTCAAAACAGACGCCCAAAGCTACCTCAGCTCGGTCCCCTCGACATGGAAGTGTTACTCCAAGCTCCTCTCATGTGCCTTAACTTAACCTCTAAAACAGCTCCAAGGACTGCAATAAAGTGAAAATATTGATTGGATTCCACACACACACATTTATGTTCTTCTGTTTTGTCTGTTGCTGGTTTGTGAGGCTGCAGTGTAAGGCCGCAATGTTAAATGGCTTGTGTCTACAGCGTTCACAAAGGTCAGATTTTTGTGGAGAAGGCAAGACATGTTTTTTTGTTTTGTTTCCGTTGATAATAATGCCTACTGTTTTGGAGGTGCTGGTGTGACCCTTGAACCAGGCCCGAGACATTAGAAATATAAATTCTGTCCATAAAAACAGTGAACAGAAATGGTGACGAAAAGCAGCCTTGACAGTGCACAACATCCAGTGAGGACAGGTTTGACTTCCTGCCGGTAGTGCGAACAAAGCCTTGACTCCATACACGACCCTCAGCAAAGACTCTCTTAGAACCCCCCAAAGGACCCCCCCCCTCTCCCAGTGTCTTGGAAAAAACGTTAACGCGAAGAAGCAGGAGTTTGATCCAAAATCATTGTAATACACAGTCTGCCAACCCAGAGGTACAGCCCCAGATCAACACGTAATGTTGCAGAGATACTGTATGTCCGCCACTCAAAATGTAGTTTAGAGTAGAATAGAAAATGATTTAGAATTTAACACATGATCCTGAATAACATATCTATAATAAGTATAAATAAAGGGTCATACAGTATTATAGTATGTGTTCTCCATGTGCGTTCTCTCGTAATTATTACATACATTTTTATTATGACTGTAAAAAAAGAGCCATTCTTCTGTTAAAAGTATCTCTCCGCTTGAAAAAAGGTTGTTCTGTCTCACTGTTTTGGGTTGTTAAGGGTTGCACAATTTCAGTTATTTTCATTTTCTTATAGGTACAGTGCTAAACTAGCCTGGCCTTAGCCATCCTTATACTCCGCTCAATCATCATTTCCCTGCATAACGTCTGGGTCTGGTCCCTGTGTTAGCGATTACATTGGTTGAATTCCATCCGACCAATCAGAGAGCGTGGGAGGCGGGTGTTGTAGATAGTCCTTGGTGACGTCAAGAGTTTTCGCCGAACGGGCAGCTTGTAGTTTGGCAATGGCGAAGAATGCGATATAACCAGACCGGAATACTTTACTATCAAGATATTGAAGCCGGAGCAAGAGCAATGTTTAGCAAATGTAATTGCTGGCAAAGATTGTGGCGCTACTCCCCATGGGCTTTGTTAGCGGCTAACGACTCACTCGGGCGCATTACATAAGTGACGTTAAACTCAGATCCAACCGTTTCAATCTGCAAAAGGAACCCCTCCCACCTGTTAACGGAGCTCAATGGAACACCTCCAGACCTTAGTACGAAATATAATTTGTTCAATGGTGTGGTACGACCAGGCTAGACACAGATCATTCCCCATGACTTGAGACGCTTGTATGTCTCACTCACACAACCCAGCGTTCCAGCCTTTAGTTATCTATCCGCCCTGCTGTACTTTGTGACAGCTCGTGTTAAATAGGAGCTGCTGGTAATTGTAACTTGCTGCACTTTTTGCCCATTCAGCAGAAGTCTTCCTAACAAGATCTCACGCTCCAAATAGATGCCTTCCTCATTCCCCCATCTCTCTTCCTACCTGTCTCCCCTTCTCAACAAGCTTTCAACTGCTCCCTGTGGTCTGTGCTGTCTATACTCTCACAAATGTGCACCTCTACGTTTTTTTTCCCCTCAATTCTTTTGCCCTGTCGTCACATGTTATGGTTCACAATAGGAGATAAGTCTATTCTGCACTCAGTCGTAGCTCCTGTCACCTCCCCTGAGACTGCTATTAATTGAATGAACTCTTTGCCTTGTGCCGCTTCCACCTATAATTGGGCAAGACATTCACAAATCATTCCCCCTTTCCCCAGTCGCCATCTCTGTCCTTGCAGTCAGAGCGTGGCCTCCTGGGTGCTACCTCTGCATTTGTCACACTGTCCATGCTGCTTGTGTTATAAAAGGCCATAGTGGAAAGAAGCTTTGTTTTTGCTGAAGTTTGTGGATCGTTTATAATCCTTGTAAGTTCAACTGCAAAGTGGAATTCTGGCAGTTAAACTACATTAAATAGTTTTGCAGGCATTGTGGGTTACTTTGAACTTTAAATGAATATAGACAACATTATATCATATCTCTTTTACAGCTTTTTATTACAGACCAAGTAGCAGTTTGTGATAATAAAATGGCGGCAATGGTCTACAAATTTGGTCCATAAAAGGTGCCGTATTCTCTACTTGAACCATCATGAGGTTATCAGGCTATAGATTTAATACAGTAGATGTCTGCTACCGGACACCATTTCTATAAGTTATTACCTATAACTTGAAATGATAATGTTTTTTTTAGCAACAAAACTACTGGTGTCATTATGCTTTTACTCAATTATATATAATGCTTTTTCCATCTGCATAATCATACCTTTCCTTTTAATAAATGGGCCTTGCCAATAATAAAACATGATCAATATTGTAATTGGGAAATAATTCTAATAGAAAAACATTGGTATCAACTTATTCTATTGTTCCATCCCCACTCAAAGTTAAGGAAATATTATGTGTTGGGAATGCCAGGAGTTTTGCACTGTTTGTAGATGATAAGTTACAGTTTGTCCCTTCTATATATAGTGTGAAATTCCCTGTTCACCTTTTGTACATCTCCTGAATGACTTCACCCGGTTTGCTCTAAAATGCATAAAAGGTTCTCCTGGCCCTGGTCCTTACAGCTGCCAAAGGGACGGCAGTACACTCTCTCACGGCTAATGGGACCTGTCATTTGTTGTCATTGTTTATTTAAAACTTTAAACAGTCCACACATAAAGAAAAAGAAAGCACTTTCAGGGCATTGTTGGTCTGGTTCACTTTAACTGGACTAATTCTGGTTCACTTGGGGCAATAACTTTTCTCTGTGGACGTAAGACTATGAAACAAGTCAACATGCATCCACTATAGTCACTTAAGTGGCGGTGCATCATCTGTGTGAGTGTGTGTATGTGTGTGTGTGTGTGTGTGTGCAGGTGTTTTGTAAACCAAATAATATGATATTGGTCACACAAAAAAGACAAATCTCTGTCAGTAAAAGCAGCTGTCAAACTCTTTCCTACAGACGACACCCCGGAGACGTGCATCTACTCGGGCTGGTCGCCGTGGTCGGCCTGCAGCAGCGCCTCGTGTGAGAAGGGCCGCAGGATGAGGCAGCGGATGCTCAAGGCTCAGCTGGACCTCAGCGTGGCCTGTCCCCACACACAGGACTTCCAGCCCTGCATGGCCCCAGGCTGCAACATCGAAGGTACTGTACAACACACACTAGACATGGAGGTTACAACCGCACAACACACACTAAACTTTCAGGGTACAAGGGAAATGAATTGGCTAAAATAAGGATAGTGATAATACTGCAGATAGAGATGAAAAAAAGTCAAAAATTGCTGAAATTTGCCTAAATGTATCTTGATTTGATCACATTTTGACAGGTTTAAAACAAGATTCGTCAATGGGACAAGCAAAATTATCTTGGTTTAAAAAGATACAAGGTTGTCTCCCTTCAAATGGGAAAAGAAAGAAACAGTTCTTGAAATAAGACTTTGTCCCGATGGCAAATCTTGTTTTAAAATAGTCAGAATGTACTCAAATTAAGATAAAAACCAGCAATTATTACCTCTTATTATATAATTTTTACAGTGATATACTGTATATATATACATATGGGTTCGAATCCCGGTTATAACAGGGCCTTTCTGAGTGGAGTTTACATGTTCTCCTCGTGTCTGCGTAGGTTTTCCCCACCACTAAAAATATGTATGTAAATATATGTATGTATGTAAAAAAGTGATTTTTTCATTTTTATTTGATGTGTTTTAACTGTTGGTTCTCTGATCTGTGTTGGTGATTTCAATGGTTTTGTTAAGTCCTCTGAGATGACTTCTGTTGTGATTTAGGGCTATACAAGAATGAATTGTATTGTATTGTGTTGTATGTACAATAGTTCAGGGTGAATGAGTGCGTGTTGTGAGCGCGGCTGTGGGGCGACGATGTAAATTTGGAACTACAATGTGGAATGACGTGTTCAGTAACATGTAGTGTCCCAACCACAATAAACAATAAACCTGATCAATTCAACCCTAAACCTAAACGTATATGAAAACAAAATCCCCCCCCACCAATAATCCATTCAGCTATCATTGTAAAGTTGACAGTCTGTGATTAATACTACATGCAGTCCAAACAGATTTTTTTTATTTCATGTTTTTGTTATTTTAAGATTTCCATTGGACTTTTGGGAAATCAGTGTGTGTGAGATAAATAAACAGACTTTTAATAATGGTCCCAAACACACTCAGACAATTACCCGGCCGTTTTTGCTGCTTACCTTAAAGAGCCCAGTTCATTAATAAAGGCAAATGCAATTACTGCGTACTCCCGACGTGCTTTCTCAGCCATTTACCTTTCATAAATATTACATAACAGCGTGTAGCCGAACGTCATGATGATAAGTGCAGTTTTTTTTTTATTGCTCCATGCTGGGAAGTCTTGTCTCGCTTGTTCTAGTGTTGACGTTATGTATGGAATGTGTCAAAGTTATAGCCAGTCAGGATGAAATGGACAAACTAACAAAACATTTGTTTCACTAATTGTCACAAAACAAATATAAAATGCAAATATACTTTTTTGAGGAATTCTGGTACACACATAACTCACACTCAACTCCGCCCCTAGTATGATGTCATTGTATCGCTATGACATCACGCTCATGAGATAATATTTTCTATATTTTTGTTTTGGCAATTTCTCAGGCAAAATTATGTTATTTATAATTGAATGTTCCTTGCAGACAAACATGTTAAAATTTGGAAGAAAAAAAACCTATAAAAATTCAACTCCTCCCTCTGGTGGTTGCACAGGGAGTTACAGGCAGAAAGCTATTGTTATTTATTTTATTTTGTTTTCCGTATTTTAAAAAAAATATCAGATATAAGTTAATAATCACTATTTTAATGGCCAAAAGTACTGCATGATATTTCTTTTTTAAAGTTTGTCAGTTCTGTATAATTCAACATGCCGTTATTCCCAAGGCTATACTGTATCTATTTTTATGCTCAATGTATTATGTAATTTACTTTAGCAACCGCAGCTTAATCTGCATAACGTTCTCTTCAGTTGAGCTGCACTTTTTGTTTTAACTTTTTTTAGATTGATGGAAAGTAAAGATCAACAAACATTGATGAATTGAATAAAATTAACTCTCAATGTTGTGTGGAAGATTTTATTCTGGCTACACAACTGAGCCAACTTGGATACATTTTTATATTGGACTTTTTGGATTCTTTATATTTTTTTGCAGTGATTTCCCAGTGAATCACAACAAGAGGTACTAATGTCAATTAGTTACTTTTACTCTAATATTATCCTCAGGTTTTCATCATCTGTTAACCATAAAAGAATTGCGTGTCAAGCTCAAGACAAACAGTAAACATAGGTCCTGATGTAGCCTGGTCGTACCACACCATAGAACAAATTACATTTCGTACTAAAGTCTGGAGGTGCTCCATTGAGCTTTGTTAACAGGTGGGAGGGGTTAACTCCTTTTGCAGATTGAAACGACTGGATCTGAGTTTACCGTGACGTATGTAATGCGCCGAGTGAGTTGGTGGCCTTTAGCCTAGCCATCTCCTTTGCCGCTAACGGAGCCCGTGGGAAGTAGTGCCTCAATCTTTGCCAGCAATTACTTTTGCTAAACATTCCTCTTGTTCCGGATTACATTTCTTGACAGAACCAGACCGGAACACTTTACTATCACATTCTTCGCCATTGCCAAACTACAACCTGCCCGTTGACGTCCACCACATCTAACTACAACACCTGCCTCCCGCGCTCGCTGATGGAATTCGAATGGAATTCTACCGATGTAATTGCAAACACAGGGACCAGACCCAGACGTTACATGCAGGAAATTATAATTGAGAAGAGTGTACGGATGCCTAGGCCTGTCACGATAACAAATTTTGCTGGACGATTAATTGTCTCAGAAATTATTGCGATAAGCGATTATATTGCCGTTCTGAGATCATTTGCATCGATTACAATGATAATGCAGGTACACCTTTTCAAAGAGAAATAAACTTTTATTTTTAACGAATATTTAACGCTAGAACACAATAAATTAACAAACAACCAAAAACAATAAATAAAATACTCAGTCTCTTAACAAAAAATGACCAGGAATAAAACTGCCAGGACCTTTGTAAAGAAAATATGAAACAGATGCCTCAAATGTCAATAATTTCTCAGACTTTATGGCAAATTACGAGAAAGAAATACCAACATGTTGACTTTGTGTGGCTTAAGACAGGATCTCTCAGGAGTTGTCCCACCTCCCCACACACCAGGCGAATGACAAGTGATTGACATGTGGGTTCACCAATGGGGCGTACAGAAGTCCTGCTGCGGTAGCGCCCACCGGAAGTAGCGGGGCGGGCTTTGGTGCTAACAGCTAAGCTAGCGGGTTTTTTGTGTAAAGTTCTACTCCAAGAATGCAAGTCTGCAGCATCTCTATGTTCAGAGACCTTCTAGAGACTTTATATAACAGCAGTATGTGTTCACGGAGGTGCGCCATAAGTTTATTTTATTGGTATGATACGGTACTTCTGCATCGGCGAACACGCTAACGCTAGCTGCGCTAGTATAGTCACTAATCAAGCCTGAATGAGAACTCAGCTGCCGGCATATGTTCACAACTACTGTGTCCCCCATTGTCAATCCTGGTTAAGTCCTGGTTTAGGTCCTGTTTTGGCTGTATTTTGTATTTTTGAGTAATTTCCGTCTGCTTGCTAGACCGCTAGTGTTCCCGTGACCACTTTGCGGCTCTCTGACCCGAGAGAGACGGGGAAACAAACAAGCATGCAAATGGGATTTATCGCGGCCAGAAAAGTTATTGAGCAAATTTTATTTATCGTGCGATTAATTGATTTATTGACTATCGCGACAGGCCTACGGATGCCTAAGGCCAGGCTAGTTCTGATGGCTACTACACTGTAAAAAGTGATGAAAAATAAGTCAGAAAATGCTCAATTTTGGCAAAATGTATCGTAATTTGAGCACATTTTCACTGCCAATGGGACAAGCAAAATCTTGTTTTAATGAGAAATGTCTCCCTTCGAATGAGAAAATAAAGCAGAGTTCTTCTAAGTGGCTTTGTCCCATTGTACCCAAGATAAAAACCACTCAATTCAATTCAAGAATGTATTACCTCATATTTGATCATTGTTAGCAGTGTATGGCTCTTAGTGTTGTCAGAGCACAGTTGGTATTCTGGTGGCATATCGTGCGTATACTGCAGCGGTACAATGCCAGCGTCTCATTTCGCACACAGTAAGATTTCATTTCTTTGTAATCCTTTTAACAGTTTGTGGCTTTCATTTCCTGGGCCACAGGAGCAATCAGCGAAGGTGCAAAAATAATAAGCAGATTAGTGTGAGGTATTAATGTAATCCTGACAAAAGGGGCGCAGTGAACGGAGATGGTAGATTCAGCCTTCAGCCCATTAAAAAACCAAGCGGGTTCTTTTAGAGCTTTGCAGGCGGTGAAAGTGTGAGAAACACTGTGATTATACATATTGTTTGAGACGACTGGAGTGAAGGCTATGATGGAGTGCAAGGCAACATAGTTGACACAGAATTATTTGGGGAAAATATTTTAGCGATGGTGAACAACTTGTGGCCCTTACTTGCACTTGAAAGTCAGATCCCGTCAGACCTCTGAAACTGTGCAGGGCAGGGCCTGGTTAGTACTGTGATGGGAGACATGGGTGGCTCCGGGCTGTGAAGTGCCAAACTGTTACTGTGTGCTTGGGCAAGACACTTCACCCACATTGCCTAGAATGAGTCATGTGTGTGTGGCACATACTGGTTGCCTCACTTCTGCCAGTGTGCCCCTGGGCAGCTGTGGCTACAGTATTAGTTTATCGCCACGTGTATGGAGTGAAAGAATAATGCCATGTGAAGCATCTTTAACTCATTGCCTGCCATCCTATTTTAGAACAGGTACTTCCATATTGCCAGCAGTTTCTGATGATTTTTCAAGATTTTTCAAGACCCACAGAATTTTGTGTACTATGACTATCTGAAATCCGAAACCAGATTCTGAAAGAATGTCTACTTTCATCAGCAAAAAAAAAAATGTTTCTAGCTTTTTGCATTCCCCTGTAATCCCCAGTCGAGTAGAGGGAAGTTTTACTGAAATCAGGTGCATCTAGCTGTTTTCAAACCATCCAGAGATCGATGGTGCCACCTG